TATATATATATAAGCAATATTTAAGCCCATTAATACTTGGTATGTATAGAGCCCTCGCTCCTCAGGTTTTATCTGCATCAACACTGTTGGTAAAGCAGTCTTCATTCCCCTCAAGGTCACCCTGCAGATGTAGTGGGATTCACTACGCCGTATACCTCCTTGGAAGTGAAGAAGAAGTAAAAAAAACACCACAGCTGATTCATTAACTGCAACTTCTAAAGAAGCTGGAAAAAAAAAAAAAACCCAGAAATGAGACAAGACGAGATGGAAGGAAGGAAGGAAGGAAGGAAGGGAGGACGGGGTAAAGAGAATCAATCTAGCCCTGGCCCACTACAGGCTGTCGCTGCTACGTGGAACTCGCAGCCTTGTCTCTCATCTCGGAGTGACAGCACAGAGTAATGACTGGTAATACTTCACTGAGATTACCTTAGGTCATTTTTCTTCCCCCCCCCCTGTACATTCACACACCATTGAAATGTTTTATCTGGCTGCAACAGCGGTGTGTGTGAGCGTGTGATTGAGTAAGCGAATAAATGAATGAGTGAGGGTGCGAGTGAATGAGTGAGACAGTAAGTGAGAGCGGAGGGAAAGGGGAGGTGGAGAGAAAAGAAAGACGGAGCACTTAATCTCCCGTGACACTGTGCTGAGGTATCTTCAACATGGGAGAACGTTTCTACCTTTGTCCCGTCTCTCTCTCTCTCAAAAAAAAAAAAGAAAAATTTGAATCAGGTAATAAGTGTAATATCATCACACACAAAAATCAACCACGTTTTCCCCCCTTTGTTTTTATATTAGATAAATCTTATACGTGACTATATGTTTTTTTTATTAATTATAATTCAATTTAATTTTGTTAACAATTTCCTGAACCTGAAGTGTTTTTTGTTTTTTGTGTTTTTTTTTTATATTTCTAAAATTCATCAAGCGCGCCAGATTAAAAAACTCCAAGCGGACCGTTTTTGGCCCCCAGGCCGTATGTTTGACACCTGCAAGGTAACCCATCAACACATGTTTGTACGAGGGGGTTGTTTACTGTCTTGTTAAACACGGTTGCACGCTAACTGAGGGTACTTAAGCTTAGGTGGAGAAAATGGTTAAAAAAAATGGTAAAATTAATTCATAAATTAATATTGCTCAAAAGCCATGCTGATGCTTGGGAAAAATATTCATGAGGTAAAAATCTTTTTTTTTTTTTTTTAATTATTGGCTGAGACATTTATATAAATATATATAAGACAAAACGATGTTGTTTTTTATCATTAATATTTTAAGGTTGGTTTGATTAGTTGGATTATGAAAAATGAAAATAAATTTTAAAAAAAATCCCATTAAAAACGTACAAATAAAATTACAAAAATGAAAATGATAAAATAAAGAGATTAATATTTTACATTGAATACACATATGACATTTTTCTTAATTAAGTTTGTGGAGATAATTGTTGCCGCTGTTCCCTGTTTCTCTGCAAGGAGAAGCTCTTTTAGAGAAGCATAGCAGCACCACCATATGGCCTGTGCTGGAGACAGTCGTGTCTCCATGAAACTAGGAAAAAAGGGCGAAAAAGAAGAAGCGGCTGAGCTGGAAACCCCCCCCCCCCCGCTGATCCTTGCCCACCTCTCACTGTTCCTGATTCAATTAATCAAAGCTTTGATTAGTCTAACACCGACTCCCTCAGGTAGTGATGAATGAGCTGTTAAAAGAGCTGAGCAGAAACTGCACATTGCGAGCCTTGGATGGAAGAGGCAGCCGAGTCCTGGGGCAGGACGGTAGTGAAGTGGACCGACAGGGAGGTCAGGCTGGATATTAAGGTAGCATAATTCGAGTGCACTGGGATGTAAAATATACCTCAAATCATGTGATTTAAGTTAAACATTAAATATTTCCCCAGCCTTTGACTTATCTTTTAAGTCTAATGTCAGTATTTTTTTTTTTTTTTTTTATTTTTTTTTAGTATTTTAACCTCGGAAACTCCAATGAGATAAATCAGGGGTGTCAAACTCATTTTCACTGGGGGGCTACATCAGCAATACAGTTTCCCATGAAGGGCTGGTTGTAAATGGAGGACTGTATAGATGTAACTATTACATAATAAATAAATACTTTATATCCAAGGTACAAATATTGTTCATTGCTGTGCAAAAAAAAAAAAAGAAAGTTTAATTTCCCAGAAAAAAGAGCTCCCGCGTGCCGTAAAAATGTACTTTCTGTGCCAAATTTGGCCCCTGGCCCTTAGGTTTGACATGTGAGATAAATCTTCAAGTTGCTTAAAAAAAGCAGCTGCTAATTTAATCATTCTTGCAAAATTATATTTTGTTATTTTTAGAGCATAGATATGTTGGTTTTAGTGCATTGGTGCAACATTGCTTTATTGAAAACTTTTTCAGCAACTCAGTGGACAATCTTTCCCTTTCCGCCCTTTAGAAATGCATTTCATCACGAACATTCAGGATGCTAGGGTATGTATCGTTGTCTCTCCTTCAATTAGGCTAGGCTAGGCTAGGCTGGACTAGGCTAGGCTAGGCTAGGTGACTTTTGAAAAGTCACTGAATTCCAAGTAATATGTTCAAAAAAAAAACCAAAACAAACAAACAAACAAACCACAATACCCACTTAAGGGCACAGAAACATACAGGTCACATCTTCTTCAGTACATTAAAAAATGAACTCAAATTATCCAGATGCGCCCACATCACGGCCCATTCTGGTCAGAGCTGGACGGCGAGACGCTCCACTGTTTGCCATACGCACAGGAAGAACCCACCTTTGAGATGTAGGCAGCAGGCTGTGGTATCCTGATTGCTCATTGTGCCCTCCCTGCCAGATGGAAGGCTAATCCGAGGAACAGCATGAGACTAGAGCCCCTGATTAAGCTCCGCCTCCCTGAGCACAATGAGGGACGCTAAGCTCTGTACTGGACCATCACACTGATGTTTGCTTTTTCCATCTGCCCCCCCCCCCACCCCCCTACTCCTTCATCTTTTCCATTTTGAACTTTGTTTTATTGTCTTACGTCACCCCGTTGATTATCATAATCAAATATCGAAGCACTTCACACACTGGAAAGTCGAGAATAACTTGCCAGACAGCCAACAAGTGGGACGATATGGGTCTCTTTCATTCCAGGAGATGCGGACCGGTTTTGTTTTGTTGTCTGCTGTGTGTGTGTGTGTGTGTGTGTGTGTATTCTACAGAGATGAGCAGTTGCAAGAGATAAGAAGGGCTATTTGAGATCGATTGTATTAAGCCCGAAGTCCTGTCCCTGGTGAGATTAGCCGGCAGTGAGTGAGAGACGTTAGGTAAGCCACATTTTGAGAAAGAATTGCAGTTTATAGATTATCTGTAACCTTGTTGTACCCAGAAAGCCCTTCTTTCTAGTACTTGTCTGCCAATGACGGGATTTCACCATGATGTGATTGTGCGCTATCATGGATATCATGTCCGAATGCGCAATCCGTGATGCACTGGCTAGCACATTATGCATTAGCGTTTATAGCATTTCACATTATGTCGACTGACTTTCTGTCACAATCTATATAAGAAAAAAAAGTAGAACTCACAACGTCCTTGACCTAGGACAGTACTTCTCAAATAGTGAGGTGGGCCCCCTTGTGGGGGCGTGGTGAGGTGCCGGGGGGGAATGCAAGGGGCTTCCATTGGAATATGGCACACTGGACATAAGTGTACCACTGCTGTAATTCTTAAGTAACAAGCCTCCAGTCACTAGGTGGCAGCAACTCATACAGTGGTTTGTACAGATAAAATATCAGGTTCTCAATTGAGGGGTAATTGAGAACCACTTTATTATCCCGACGTACAGCGGCAAAACTCGCCAACCATCGCCAACACTAGCAGATAGACAGTTTTGTTTACGTTCGCTGGTCGTAGGCCACACATTGGATTGTGCTGCGTTCGCTTTCCTTAGTTTGTGTTGGTTTTGTTTGGGGATCTTTTTGCCCCTCATGGTGGCGTCCCAAGCAATGGTCAGACTCTTCTGATGTTTTAATATGCTAGATTATACCACTGCGTTAGCATAGGTGAGTGCCAAAGTTATGTACAGTATGTGCTCCTACTTACGAACATCAAGTTACGTCGCACCGCAAGAGTTGAAGTCCGACGCCTCCGTAAATTGAAATACTATTGAGAACCTGATAACGTGTATACTTTTATCTGTAAAAACCACTGTATTCGTTGCTGCCACCTAGTGACTGGAGGCTTGTCATCATTCAAGCATTACAGCAGTGGTACCCTTGTATGTCCAGCGTGCCATATTTCATTTTTGAGAAGTACTGCCTTAAGGGAATTACTGTACAATTTTTGAGAAGTACTGCCTTAAGGGAAATGAGCCAATGTCTAGCTCTGCTTGAGGAAGATCTGAAGAAGCCTACATGTAACCCTGGCAACAATTAAGAAGTCAGAGACAAATGTCTGTGGGTGAATTGGCAGATTTTTACTGATGTATGCACAATCAATGTTTTTTTTTTTTTAAATGCGTGTGCAGTAAGGTGACTAAATGCCATTCTAGCAAGTATTAAAATGAAGTCTACAGTTTATGTGCATCAGTATAACCTACTTATGGTTATGGTTTAACGCTTGGATCACATTAATGTCATTAGGTTCACGTCAGGACACCAGTCATCATTTCTAACCAGGCAATACATCTGGTGCGGAGTGAATGAAACTTACCTCCGTGCAGTCCAAGCTATTTTTCTGAGTCAAAATGATTGAACTGATTCAATGACTCTTGGTCAGACCTTGATGAGACTCACAGATTTGAAATCTGCATGATCAAAAATCCTTTAAGCTACATTGCTTCCATGCACATCCTATGATCAGGCCCTATCTTTCTCGGTTTGCACTGATGTGAAAGCTCTGATATGTAATGTGTCCATACAGAGCCTGAGCCTATGGCTTAAGATAAAATATATCTTTAATGTTCATCTAAAATCAACATTTGCACTGTCTCAGTGGAAACATTCTCCTTGCTCTCTCTAAAAATCTTCTATTCTTTTGCTATGTACACAGTATAGAGGGTTGGAAATAGGAGGGAAATGTAGAAACCATAGCAGAAATGACATAAGAGAAAAACAGACACCATTACTGTATTTTTATTTTATTATTTATTGTTATGTTTAATTTATTTTTCCATTCATTTAACCATTCACTTGTACTCATATCACTACATTGCTATGACATGCTTAGCCACTTGGTGGCGCATCACATTTGTGGT